CATTTTGGGGGTTTGTGGGAGGCGGCTGTTAAAGCAGCTAAATATCATTTTCATCGCATCGTCGGGACCTACATTTTTACTCTTGATGAAATTCAGACCTTGGCTTGTGAAATCTCTGCTTTGTTAAATTCCCAAATTCCAAACCACTTTCTCAATGGAGCCCCGAAAGCTGCATTCGACGAGCCAGATGTGACGCATCTCCGGGTCAACCTACTTAGTCGATGGCAGCGGCTGTGTCAAATGAAGCAGGCGTTTTGGAGAAAATGGAGCGCGGCGTATCTTTCGATTCTTCAGGAGCGGAGCAAGTGGCGGTCATCGTCTCCAAACATCAAGCTAGGAGCGCTAGTCATGATGAAGGAGGAAACGCTGCCACCATTAAGGTGGCCGCTTGGCCGCATTGAGAGCGTCATCCCAGGAAAAGATGGAACCATCAGGGTAGCCGTCATCCGCACTCAAAGAGGACTTTTCAAGAGGGCCGTTGGAAAAATAGCGGTTCTGCCCCTTCAGGATGGATCTGTTGAAAGCCTTTGCCTTCCAACGGGGGGTGAATGTTCGGAGCAGAACCCAGCCGATTAGCTGCTTACCAAATAGCACCTAATTCTTGGCCCTCAGCCGCTTATGTTGTTTGTTACTTATGTCTATGTCACTCATTTGTTTGTTAAAGCTTTGCGCTTGCTTGCCCTGCTAAACGCTCTCTGCCAGCTCGCTCTTCGCTATCTCCGCTTTGCGTCTGCCTACCGACGTCGGCCGAGCGAAGCTTCGCTTAGCGATCGGAGCGGCAATGTAAAGGGCAGGCAAGCCACACTTGCAATTTGGATGTCACGCATTAAAGAACATATCGCAATTTTATTTCTGCGCCGAGTTTTATTTAATTGGAATAATTAGTCGGCCGATTGGGGATAAAAAACATTATCTCCACAGTGGCAAAACAACTGATTTTGGACGACCTTCACGAAATTAGTGATCGACTGAACTACGATCACGATTAAATTCTGCAAACCAGCGATAAACTGTCGTTTTGATGGTGAATAAAAATAACTAAGTTCATCAACACATTCTTGTTGAGTTGTGAAAAATAATACAACGAAAACCCTCTCGAGAAATTTCCATTGTTTTGCCAAATTAATTTTTTTAACTGATTGTGAACAAAACAAAAACCAATTGTATATAAAAACGTTGTACGTACATATGTGCTAAAAAATTACAAAATTTATTAAGGCGTTGTCAGCTTTTACGTATTGACATTAGAATTGCCAATTCCCGAAATATAAATAGCACCCTTCGTAAACATTATTTCAGTTATTAAAAAGTTCGTTGCGTAACTATTTGAAATCAAGGAGATATATTTGATATCCTCCTTTACACAACTTGTAACGAACCTTAAGACGGTTCGTCACAGCGCGCTGCATCGCGGGATCGCCACCGCCTCATTTTTTCCCTTTATTTTCTCTTAAATATATCGTTACTTAGCCCTAAGAACAAAGAATTCATATAATAAATGTGCCATCAATAAAGAGACTCCTTCCCCATATCGTTTCGCCTACCATTTCACGACAGCCAAGCCCACATTCCCATACCAACACATTGCCCCCATCTTTAGCCGTAAGCTCCCGAAGCCGATAAGAACGCCCCCCACACCAACACATTGCCCCGCGTTTAGTCGTAAGCTACCGAGACACGAACCGTTTGCCGGTGACAACTCCCCACCGTGCCAACACATTACCCCCACCTCTAACCGTAATCTCCCGAAGCACAGACTAGCCGATAAGAACCCCCGCTCCCTTGCCTTCGCGGCTTTGGGACGCTCCGCAAAGCGGCAGCCATTCGGGAGGCGGAGAGACGGAAGGCAGACCCCAAAAGCGGTCTGCAGATCCCTGGAGCCCCCGAAGGCAGACCAACCGGTCCGCTCGTCGTGGTGACCGCAACCGACCCCCCAAGACCCCCGTACCCGGAGGTCCGCCCCTCACCCATGAGGAGGCTTCTCCCTGAAAGCGATAGACCCCGGGGAGGTAACGACGCAATGGAAGCCCATCGATACAGTCAAGCTGCCCAGATGGCGGAACGGACTAGACGGTGGGGAATCCAATTCGATGGACAGGACGATCCGTTGTCCTTCATCGAGCTGTTGGAAGAGCACGCGCTTTCGTACGGGATAGACACCAACCACTTGCCTCGAGCTATAGCGGAAATCCTTATCGACCGAGCCAGCCGCTGGTTCCGCACCAGCACGCTGCAAGGCGATTCGTGTGTCGACTTCCGGCAAGAATTTTTGGACTTTTTTCTCCCGCCCCGGTATTTCGATCAGATCCGAGCCCGCAATCAAGCGACGGGTGAATTATTAAAGGACTTCATAATCGAGCTCAGGTTGCTCATGCACCACGCCGGGTACGATGCTGCCCAAGAGCTCAACGATGTTGGCTACAGAGTTCGAATCCATCCAAGGGGAAAGGCGGAGAAGGGGCGCCCGTGCCGCGGAAAACCCGAGCGAGGCAAGCGACGACCGCCCGGATCCCGAGAGGTACCGACACTAGATCGGCCGACGGCGTAGCCCACGATAAGCGTCTTCGGCAGTCCGAGACCCCACCACCACCAATCAGTACAATTCCGCCCTGGAAGACCTCATCCTAGCCTTAACTCTGGCCAAGATCAACGTGATCAGCCCCGCCCTTCTGGACGGCGCTGACATTAAGGAATTGGGCGAGCAACACCTCGCTAACATCAGCCTAGTGGAGTTACTAGAAGTTTCAAACATTAGCATTTCAGAGCGCAGACCTACTCCACTTTCTCATCAAGTTTCCCCAACCTGGTCTGTTGGTCTGTAGAAAAATGCTTATTTTCCCGGTCCAACACCACAACAAAATACTAAATTTCAGCGAGGGAAACATCGTGGCAGAGTGCAGGCCCCAAACCCTCAACATTTGGGATGGCGAAGCCATCATCGGCGCCACGTTTTGCAGAGGACGCGAGGGGACCACCTGCGCTTAGCAGATGCTATCCAGGTCCGTCGCACACTGCGCGACCGGGCGAGGTCACTTGGATCCGGTCGTCGTGGTAGACCACGGCACCATCATCGTCAACGACGCAAAGTTCACCGTTGTGGATGATGCGGGGACCACCCAAGCAATCACGGGATCGTACCTGATTACGTATTCCCACCGAGTCTCGTTTAACGGGAACTGGTACGTAAATCACCACGGCGACTCCAAAAGAAAGGCGGTGGTACCGGCGATGACTCGAATAAACGTAACGGCGCACAAGGAAAAGCTAAGCTTGCCGTTCCTACGGGAGCTGAGCCTGCAAAATTCAAACTACATCGACGACCTGAGCCAGACGGCGACGATAAGGAGCGCCGCCTCCTATTTGTTCACCCTCGCCGTCGCCATCCCTCTCTGCGTCATCATCTGGGTGCTATACCGCCGCCTTAAATCCCAAGGCCTTCGGAAAAGGAAAAGAGAGAAAAATAAAGAGAAAAAAATAAAGAGATTCATGCATCGCTCATTACACACATTCATAAACCCATGCCCCAAACATTCATAATCGTCCCACGGATCCGTTCACTATAGCTTAGGTTACAGAATTGCAAGCCCGCTGACACCGACTCCCGTGAGTCGCGCTGTCAACAGAGGGAAATGCATAACGTTAGAAATACGCGAGATACGTCAGATTCCGAGCGCCGAGCGAGCAAGGTGATTTGATAAAACTCTATAATACAAGAACCAAAACAATGTAAGCTTTCGTCACGCCCCCCGGAAGGCCCTAGAATTAAGAAGGTAGATTAAATAGATTAAAGCGCCGCCGCGGCTTAAACGACGAGCCGCGCCCTGCTCCCCGGAGCCAGGGTCATCATCATTCGAACAGGAGTTCGAAGATACCGGTTATCACCAGCGCCGCGATCCCCGAACCGGCCGTGGCATTTACCGGCCCGAGAGGGGACTGGAGCGTTACACACCGAAACCATACAACGCGTACTACGACGACGGGGAGAGCGAAGAGGAGGAGCCCTACGGTCGGCACTTCATAGCCGAAATGGAGACCTGGAGAATGGAGAACCACCAGATGTCCGTAGACGTCTTCGTCCCTCCCGGCCGGAATGTCAACGCGTTCTTCAGGACATTCCGAGAAGCCGCGGAACCAATCGACTACCGCTCCGAACCGGCCGCCCCAGCCAGGCCAAGCACGCCGAAGCGCGACCACCGACGCCCGCATCAGATCCTCCCCGATGCCCCAATCCTCCAGACGAGCCAGCGGCGGCCACGTCGACGCACGCCGAAGCGCAGCCGGCGACGCGCGCATCAGATCCTCCCCGACGCACCAATCCTCCAGGAGAGCCAGCGGCGGCCACGCCGACACACGCCGAAGCGCCCCACGCGAAAGCAGCGCAAGGCCCTCCCACTGAATGGCCCTCCTGGACTACAGAAGATGGAAACGCCGCTCCGGTTCAACAAGCGGAGCTGACCGAAACTGAGGAGCAGTAAAAAACGGGGCCGGACTGCGGGTACCCCACCATGACCGTACGGAGGGTGAAACAAGAGATGGCGGCGACCCCCCAAACTATGGTGTGGGAAGGACAGGATGAGTTACTGGCGGACTGCGACTTGGAGGAAATCCTACGATTTCTTCAAGCCGACTCTACGCGGGAGAGGCAAAGTCCAGCGGACTTCTCCTTGATCGAAGAGCTAGCCCAGCTAGCTAATCGAGGAGATACGGCAGCCGCTACTGGAAACGGAGATGGTCACCGCCTTATTTTTCCCTTTTTTCTCTTAAAGAACAAAGAATGCATATAATAAATGTGCCATCAATAAAGAGACACCCTCCCCTTCTTCTCGACCTTCACGTCCGCCCCAGTAAGACGAGCCGACCCCACTTTCGGAGTTCCTGCGAACTACTGGAAGAGGATACATTACAAACTACATTATCAAACTGTGAGCATCAGTATTAAAAACCTAGCTTCACCAAATTTGTATTACATCGCATAAAATGTAATACAATAAAATGCTTACCTATTTAGATTATCAATCATTTGATCTATAAATTCCTTACTGCGTGTCGCAATTCTATCCTCTCGTTCATCTATCCTCAACGTATGTGTATCCTTCATACCAGCTATTAAGTTTAATATAGCGTCACGATCCTCCATACACATTCGCAAATCACTTGGTACATCATCAAAGTCCTGAAGTGCCAATTTTGTAGAAATAAAACGTGTCACAATTTCCGTCATATTTTCAGAAAAGTGAACAGAAATTTCTCGCAGTTGTACAAAAAATGACTGCGATTGTTCCACAAATTTTGACATAAGCTCCGCAATTTTGCGATGAAAGTTTGTTGTTGATTCCTGAAAATATTTATTAAAATTCAAAGTTTTCACTTAGAAAATTGGGCTACCTCGATAGCCTCATGCAAATACAGTTCTTGTGTCATCAAAGTTTGCCACAAATCATTCATAGCATCTTCAAATTGAATATTTAGTTTATCGACAATATCAGAAAGGACTAGATTTTCCGGAGATTCTTCGTCTTCACCATGCATTGTGTTATACTCCAACTGTCGTAGTGTAGTACGAGCTTCTTCAAAAATGGTTTCTTTAAATTGTAAAAAATCTTCGATCCCTTTTTGTCCCATAATTTGTAGTTCTTCTTGACCCTCCTTAAGATTGTTTAAAAAATCTTGAATTTCTTCATCTCGCTCACCAAATCGTTCCAATCCCAGTTTATAAATTTCTTGAGTGAGCTCAAATATATCTTTATCGTATTCATCCGCAAGCTCTACCGCTTGTTGTCCCACAAGCATCAATATACGTCCATCCTCGTCACCTCGCCATAAAGACTCAAAAAGTTGATGGCCATCCAAGTGCTCAACAAAACTTGAAGCTAGCCGTTTCGCTTCAGATTGTTCCAGTTCTTCTAACTCGCGTGATTGTATCTCTTGTTCTTGTTTATCTTCTACTTCGCGCAGTTCTCGGCTGTTTAAATTAAAGCATATGTGGTATTCAATTTATTAAAGAAAATCTAGTATCGGAGACTGACGTTACTTAGTCATTTCCGATTTTTATTAGCAACAAAATCCGTGGCATTCAACCCACTGTTATTATTTTGTTAACAAATTAATTTTTTATATTAGAGGTAGTGCTTATTTTTTCACATAACTTAAGTTTCTTACGTCTCAAGTAGCTTATCTTAGTGAACTTTTCATGTATGACAAACTTATAAATGCAGCCTCTGCTTACCGTGTAGGAATTATTAAGCTTTCAAATGCAAAATTGATCTTTTTTGCGATATTTTTTTAAATTCTAAAATTTGCCCAGAAAAACCATAGTTTATTAAATATTTTAAAACCCCAAATATATCAAGAAAAGGTGGTTTGGTTCGTTGAGTAAAAATGCTGCTGCATAGTGATATTAGACCTCTGAAAAGTTTGGTGAAAAAGCGGAAACTAAAAAGTAGATAGCTCATTGAGTGGATAATTAAATTTTTGTGAAATGGTTATGAGTGTAGGCCATTCTCCTGCTATTGCAAATCACAAAAGTTGTGAATTGACTGTCAAATCTCAAAATTGCGTTCTCGGATTGCAGCCTTTGCTATATATAGTGTTATAAACATCAGCAAATATCTTCATAGCTGTTTTTCGCCAACATTTTGTGCCATATGTAAAGACTACGATAATCTAAAAATATAATTTCATATGGCACAAAATTTTGCGGGAAAACAGCTATTAAGATGTTTGCTGATCTGATGTTTATAACAAAAAAATTATTTTGGCTTTTTTAAATTTCATTAAACCGTGCCGAATCGTGTTATGCGTGCCACGCATACATTATACATTTGGGTTTGTGGCAACCTGTTTGTTACTGGCGTCAAATTTAATTTGTATTCCTTGTTTGACTAAATATAATATATAAAACATCTATATACATTTAAAAGTATATGTTTTAAATATATATTATATACATATATAACAAAAAGGTTAAATTTCACTGTTTATTAAACATATGGCAGACCCCGTTACTTTTGTGTTTTTGGCGGCAAAGCGTTTACCAAGTAATAAAATACAATATAATACTTTTAAAAGTACTCAAGTGTTACGCAGCTCCAAACCGAATATTTTTTAGTTGGTGATATAAATCAACAAATTGTTGATTCCGTCGAATCGCCAAGTGCTTAAGGTTCTATTTTACAATACGCGTGAAGTAAAAATGACAACAAATTAAAGTGCTAATCTGGCTTCGCGAATGCATTATCTTTTGGGAAAAGCACAAAATCTTGGTGACCTTGGAGAGACCTTCAAAAGATGCTAAAAAAGTATCAGAGATCCCGTCGAGAGAATTTTGTTCAAACTTTGGACAATTTGTTTGATATTGTCCATTCCGAAGCAATGGAAATTGTTCATAGAGTCTACCTATGTGAAACCATAGCTTGAAAGTTCCTCGGCTATAAAAGCACCGTATCAGGATTTATGTTTTTTAAAATCTTTGAACGAATATGAAACTATTGATGAAGCTATATCAAAATCAGCTTTAAAGACGTGTTGTCATCATTTATTTTATCTACATGATGAAATGACGTTACATTTGATGTAAAGGAAAGAAAGGTCACAAATTGTATGTAACAAAATAGAACCAGCTTAGAAAAACGATATGTACCATCGATGGAAGATCTTAACGGTGCACTATTTGGTAAGTAATTTTAGAAACTTCAAGTATTAACTCAAATATGAAATTTCTTGTTTTTCTTCCATTTTAGACAAACATATGGACGATTTTATATCTATAACGAGGGGGAACGTTGTGAGTTGCTGCGGACGCCGCAACTCTACATTTATACCCGATACTTAGTCAGTATTTCTCTCCTCCGGCAGACGCCGCTAATATTGAACGACACGACAAAGAGTGCGTGCGAGAAAGACAGAAAATCAGTCTGAGCGTGTCGTCGAGCTATAAAAATTATCTGATCTGATCCAGATTCAGCAATCTGATAGATATGGTCGTTATCTATGATTCTGCGTTTTTGGTTTTCTCGATTCTGCAATATTGTGGATGCAAAAGATTTTCGTCCTTTGTGTGGGCGGAAGGGGGTAGGGCGAAATTTTGAGATATACGTTTTATAGTGAGATCTAACAGGAGTGCGGATACCAAATTTGGTTACTCTAGCCTTAATAGTCTCTGAGATTTGTGGTTGCCTCAGATTTTCGTCCTTTGCGGGGGCGGAAGGGGGTGTGGCGAAATTTTGACACAAAACCGTCAAGGTCCGATATCACAGGAGTGTGGATACCAAATTTGGTTGCTCTGGCTCTTATAGGTTCTGAGATCCTGGAACTCATATTTTGCATTTGGCAAAGCCGACCATGAAACCTGTGTGTTAATAATAATTATACGATCTGGTTCAGATTTTGCACTCTGGAAGATATAGTCATCTTTTACGATTCTGCGTTTTTAGTTTTCTCGTATCGTCGAAATTGTGGATGCCACAGATTTTCGCCTTTTGTGGGGGCGGAAGTCGGCGGGGCAAAGTTTTGAAATATTCTTGTAGCAGTGACATATCACAGAAGTGCGGATATAAAACGTCGTTGCTCTAGCTTTTATAGTCTTTGAGCACTAGGCGCTAATAGGGACGGACAGACGGACAGACAGACATGGCTCAATCGACTCGGCTGTTGATGCTGATCAAGAATATATATACTTTATGGGGTCGGAAACGATTCCTTCTGGACGTTACACACGTTACTCATTTTGAGTATCGGGTATAAAAAAAAAATGATGTCCTCATTTGATCGCCTTAAAATTGATGACAGTTTTTTGAGTCTGTGCCCTTCATTATGGAACATTAACCCATCTTACTTAAAAAGCAAGAAGAGTCTTTCATTACTTAAGGCAGTAAATGATACAGCCGAAAGAGCTGTGAAATTGGTGCAACACTTTCACGAGCGTCTAACAGTGGATGAAGAACAAAAACAGTTTTTGTTACGTTGCGTTCAGGAACATAGAATCATGTATTCGGATTGTAAAAAGGAAACTTTAAAAAGGAAATATTTCCAATAAATAGTATAGTATAGTTATATGAAAAATCGGTTACTAAGTAAAATATCTCAAAAGCCTTTCACGTACATATGTAAAACTTTGAGTGTGATTCGGCATGGGTTAATGACGAAATTTTCAAATAATAAGATTAAAAAAAAAATAATAATAAAAAAATAAGAGGGTATGCGCGATTAAATTCGAAAAAAAAAATTTCCCCCATATAAGGGACACTTTAATGTGCATGGGTTACATATGTCGTCTGTCTTTTAATCCCCGTTTCTTTTCTTGTCTTCCTTTTAACCAATATATTTCAATTGTTCCAAAACAATTTGGGATAGTAAAAAGTGGCGAAAACAAGAGCACACAAATATTAATTCGTAAAAATGTTTGTTAAAATTTGAATCGAAAAAGATAGCGAAAATCGGAGCATTGCTGTATATATTTTTAAACTTACTAGAACAAAGCACAAGCTTCTTCACGTAATTCGTTCTTTATGAAAGTGTATTCATAGTAGTTCAGTTTTGGTAATATAGCAATTACATATAGCAATAAACAGAAATCAGTCCTCTTAGCAACTGGGTTGCCTTCCAAATTAAGGACCTTTAAGTTAGTCATAAAACGGAATCGTTCAATCTATCGGAGAAAAGAATAAATAATGGAAAATTTGAAATATCGTCAAAATATAAATAGTTTATAAAATTTTTGAATAATTTATAATCTGTAGAATGAGACAATAAATTTTGATCATTGGAGGAAAATTACTTATTTATTTTTTAAATTTTAACAACACAGTTAAACTATAATGGAAAAATAACAACATAAATTTAAAGAAAGCTTGAGTGCTAACTCAGCAAACAGAGCAAACGCAAACAGCAAACGGATAACTTAGATATAGTTCTTTGCATCAGACTTGCTACCTTTCTTATGGAAAGGATTTATAAACGATTTCTTTCTGATCAGGGGGAAGCATGAAGAATCAATGGACAGGGTGAATAATTTAAGAATGGGTCCACACAGAACGGACCTGGGGAAAACAATGACTTAACTAGTCGAATATCATGAAGCAGCAAGCTTTTACTAAGCAAGGCACTGAAAATACCGTTTGACCACGGTAAATCGTAGGGGTACGGCTGACCAGAGTAGCTTTCCTGAGAATTGGTGGTTTCGAAAAATTGGATGAAAGATCGGCGATTGCTTGACGATTTGCCGACGTATTGAGAAATGATAGCGAGGATAGGTGTGTATCCTGTGAAAAACGTATCCTGCATCGGTATAGATAGTTCTTATAGCATTGAGCATTAAGAAATGAAAAGTTTGAGCAAACTGTTACGAGAGAAAAAAGTAGGAGAACCAACTTCTTGAAATTTGTTATGAAGTTATGATTTTAAGTTTGTTAGACTATTTGGTTTGGATGACTCTTTGGTAAACTAGGGCGGTTTCCAAGATCTAATCGGACAAGAAAGGGGGACCCAAAAATGATGTGAGTGAAAAAATGTGTCAAGTGCAAAAATTGCTTGTGCCTTTTACTAACATAACAGTGCACATATACAAGGCGGACCAATCAAAATCCCTAATGTGGTTTTAAAGTTTCGCAAACTCGGCTTTATCGGACACATTGAGACAGCCTACTCCTCCGATCCAATACACTTGGTCCTACATCTAGTGACACTTCGACAGTAGGATGGTAGGCGTCTTCAGGTATAGTGAGTGGAAGCGCCCCGGTCACAACACTGGGGTCGGATCCGGAACAAAGCACAGATCAAGCAATCGATCCAAGGAATTTTTCACACGGTTGACTTGAGACAGGCTAAGCAAGCCGTCAAAAAAGTCATGTCGTGACATGGGTCCTAGGTTATTAGACTCGTTTACGGAAGACTGAACAGTTCCTGGCAAGTAGACGTCACCAAGAATTATCATATGATCTTTATCTGATAGCGAGGAAGAAACAGCGTTAAAAGCGGGCAGGTGCTCTTGTATTGAGATCTCCAAGCACGGTGGAACATGCGAACAAGTAATGAATATTGAAATAACTGAAAGAACCTGTTTTGCATTCTTTTTGTTGTATCTTGTATTAGGTGCATTCATTGTTATCAATACTTAATTTAAAAAATGATCCTGTTTTCCAACCCACCTAATGCTTGGGCTGTTTTATAACTTTTACTTTACTTTACGACAATATATTAGGTATTTTCCCCGAAATTTCTTTATTGATTAAAAAATATTATATTATAAAGACACATATGCACACAATATTGTTGAGCTTCTAGACGGCGTAGTACCGTGTACTACATGTTTAAAGATTTTTCTTTGCAGCTTGTTTTATAAAAGTATTCGTTCAGTTAATAACTTCGTTTAAGAACTTAATTTAGCAATGTGAAATGGCTGGAACCGCCTTGCTCAAAAATAAGTTTGTCGCGATGAAATCTCACTTTAAAAAACTCACAATTTTCACTGAGTTCAAAAAGAAGAAGGGTGACAATTAGACAGCCCACCAAAAAAATTGTCATGCGCGGCTGACCAGACCAGGCCCTGAACACAAATCCAAGGTCAGATTTGCTACATCACGTCAGGCTTTTTTCTTAAACTCAAAACCAATATGGTCAAAACATATGGAAGCTCATTTGAAAAATTGATCGTATTTGTTTGAAACTCGTCATTCGGTGGCCTTTGGGTTCGTTGATTACAAATTTGATGTCAGTTGCTTAGAAAATATACAACGTAATGTGACGGCGCTTCGGCCGGGGTATGCTCGTCGCGCCGGGTTCCACAGAAATTTGTTTGATCTCTGGGTGTGGTAGCTGAAAGAGAGTCTCGTGGTTCAAGAATAAGGCGGGGCTTGAGCGGTAATAAAAGAGGTGGAGTTATTTTTATTGTTCTTAAAAAGGTACAAAGTTTGGGTAGGTGCGCGGGTTTTTTTCTTCTGGCTCTTCCTTCGGGGTCGGCTGCCGGGGTCGGCTGCCGGGGTCGTCCTTCGGGTGGGCCGCACGTGGCGGATGGTTGCGTGCGGGTCCACGTAGTCTTCTGGTCGGTGTCGGTTGAGGGCGCGGAGGTCTAATGCGCTCCGAGGAGAAGAATGTTGCGGAGGGTAAATGCGCTCCGAGGGGAAATAATGTTGCGGAGGGTAAATGCGCTCCGAGGAGAAATAATGTTGCGGAGGGTAACTACGCTCCGAGGAGAAATAATGTTGCGTAGGGTAAATGCGCTCCGAGGAGAAATAATGTTGCCGAGGGTAAATGCGCTCCGAGGAGAAATAATGTTGCGGAGTGTAAATGCGCTCCGGGGAGAAATAAGGTTGCGGAGGGTAAATGCGCTGCGAGGAGAAATAATGTTGCGGAGGGTAAATGCGCTCCGAGGGGAAATAATGTTGCGGAGGGTAAATGCGCTCCGAGTAGAAATAATGTTGCGGAGGGTAAATGCGATCCGAGGAGAAATAATGTGGCGGAGGGTAAATGCGCTCCGAGGAGAAATAATGTTGCGGAGGATAAATAATGTTGCGGAGGGTAAATGCGCTCCGAGGAGAAAGAATGTTGCGGAGGGTAAATGCGCTCCGAGGAGAAATAATGTTGCGGAGGGTAAATGCGCTCCGAGTAGAATAGGAGGATCGCTGGGGCTGCTGGTGGCTGCTACTGATGCTTACCTCTCCACTGTCCGGAGCCGAACTGATGATGATCACTCTGGCGGAGCCCTTTTTATTTCCGAAAAGCAGCTGATCCGTACGGCATGTCCCTAGCGCTTTGTGCTGATGTGTCCCTACCGCGTTTGTACGGATCGGCTGATAGTGTGCCCGTTAGTGCTTGGGTTATGGCGCACTTGGGGCGGTCAGCTGTGGGTGGGACAGTGGTTGGCTGTGCTTCGGGCCCATTGGTGGTGATCAGCTGTGGTTGGTTTTATGTATCTTCATTGTTTGCTTATTTCTACTTATTTCTTTTGTCCTTATGTGGCAAGTCTTCATGTATTGTCGCTTATGTTCTACTTATCCTACTAATACTTATAGTTTAGTCTTCATAGCTTGTCTTGGTGTTTCTAGTATAATTAGTCTTCAGGGTTTCTTCTCGGTGTTTCTAATGTTTTGTTGTGTTTATGCGCCGGCGCTTGGTCTTCCTGGTGCTGGGCGTCACAGTAATAAAAATGGCTTTTTTCAATTACTTGTTTTGAAGAAAAACGACGGCAGAAAGTGAAAAATTAGAAGAGTTTTTCTAATGAATTAACCGAAAACTTTGGGTGGCTGTAATTTAAATTATTTATTCGGCGGGGCGAAAAATTAATACGCTCGATCTATTTCAATGTTAGCGAACAACTATATTTCCTTCACAATTCAAATCTCTTACTCTAGCTAACCTACGGTGGCAAAGCGGGGCGAATTCGTCAAGAGCGAGAGAGCGAGCTTTTATTGCGCTCCCGCTTTGCCCTAGCCTAACTTACACTAGACTTCATAATTAAGATCAATAACTAATAATCGCCGCCATGGATGGAAGGTCACGCAACACCGGCCCCGTTGAACGCCTGCATCGGCTTCAACACATTGGGAGCGGCGCTAATTTGTGTATGGCCCACCGAAAAACCGCTCCAGTGCTAGTCCTTATTTCGCGTGCGTGGCGATGACCCTCCCCACGAGCCACTCCTGAGGCGGCAGATTGCCCCGAATCTGCAGCCCCAGGACATATTCGCGGGACCATCGCTGCCAAAACGCTTGCCTGACTGACGAGACAAGTCGCCATCGCCGCAAGCAACTGAGACTCTCCTGGTCCGGAGTCCGCAGTGATGGGGGGGCGATGAGCGACCCGCCTGTCAGCAGGTGCCCGGGTGTTAGGGCCTCGCCGTCGCTTGGATCTTGGCTGATGGCTCCCAGCGGCCTCGAGTTCATTATGGCCTCGATGCCGACGAGGACTGTGGCGAGCTCTTCGGCGGTCAGGTTACCGCCCGTAGGAGTAGGCTCTTGGCAGTTTTTAAACCTGCCTCCCATAGCCCTCCCATGTGAGGAGCTCGCGGCGGTATGAACGCAAATTCGCATCCGTTTTTTGACGCGAAGTCGCGAATTTTGTCTCCCTGCTCCTTGAGCCTGATCCGCAGAGCGCTGAGATGGCGGCTCGCTCCGACGAAGTTCGTCCCGTTGTCGCAATGAACGACTTGGGGATATCCTCGGCGCCCGACGAACCTTTGAAAAGCCAACAAAAAACCATCAGTGGTTAGATCGGAAACTATTTCTAGGTGAACCGCCTTGGACGCAAAACAAACAAAAAGCGCAATGTATGACTTGTATGGGGGCCTTCCGCGAATTTTCAATGTCGTGTGCACTGGTCCACAAAAATCAACGCCGCAAATTGAAAATGGGCGGAGAGCACGGAGTCGATCTGCGGGTAAATTCCCCATGAGTTGCGTCAGCAATCGAGGCTTGCATTTAAAACAGCGCATACATGATCGAACTGTCTGACGGCAGACCTCCTGAGCTTTCACTATCCACACGCTCTGTCGAAGGATGCTCACAAGTGCTCGTGGGCCGACATGAAAATTCGAATGGTGCAGATGATGAATATAGCTTCGCACGAATTGCGAGCGCTTAGTCAAAAGCAGAGGAAACTTGGCATCGTATGATATAGGAGCTTTGGCTAGTCGCCCCCCACTCGCAACAACGA